TAACTTTCTAAATCAACTGAAACATGTGTTTTTTTCACATGTGAATAACGAATCGGATTAGACTGGGTTTGATTTTTTCCAAAGAGGGCTTCAACTCAATATATCTTTGTTTTTGGATGTATGATAAATTGATATTCATCATACAGGGGGGGAAAGAAATTTTGAATTGAGAAAACCTAATCACGAATCTGCCATTGAAACGTCTATAAAAATAACAAGTTTCCATCGTTCAAGTTTGAACCCCTTGATTAGGTGAATGTTTTGAAAAGGAATATTCTCAGATATAATTATGAACATAAAAAAATGGATACATATATAAAGGAATACATTGAGAACTCGCATTCTCTATGTGATGAAAATATCAATTCTTTCTTGGTTTATTCAACAGAAAACAACTACTTTCCTGGCCATATGCCACGACGAACACTGAATTATATTTATTGAACACACACGATAAGAGTTTGAAAATAAAATATAAAAACTTCTGAAATTGAGAATTTGCATTCTCCTTCAGGTAAAAATATGTATATGGACACATCATTCTGAATATTCAACAAATGACAGGAATATATAATGTCAACAAATTTTCTCAGATGTCATTTTGTTATAGTTTTACTCGGTTTTAGTTGTATCATAGAGAGATGAAAATTGTGTATATCATGAAGAATGGCTGTAAGAATAAGTGGACATCATGGTTACTGGTGAGGATTCAGAAATCCGAAATGGTTTCATTGCAATAAAGTCATATAACCTGTATGTGTGAGATAATATTTCCCATATCACTGATATGAATGATTATTTTTGGAAGTTTTCAAGCTCATCAAGATCAGAGTTTATGCCTTTATACTTCTCCTATACATTCCAATTTACATTTCAATGCTGAATATATTGGTAAGTTATATTTCTATATCATTATACATCATATTATTCATCCGATTTAAAGAAGAATGTCAATTCTCAATTTCGGAGGATTTTATTTTTTATTTTTCATGTTCTCCTTTTGAATGTTCATCAGATATAATTCAATGTTCGACGTGGCAAATAGCCAGGAAAGTAGATGTTTTCTGGTGAATAAACCAAGAAAGAATTGATATCTTCATCACATAGAGAATGCGAATTTTCAATGTATTTCTTTATATATGAGAATATTCCTTTTCAATATATCTTTCTTCAGAAATAATTGCAGTGAAATTAGTCATTGAGATCATTAACCGTTGATTCTACTCGAAATATCTTCAAACAAAATACGTGGTAATACAGAACGAACGTTTATCTACAAAAAGAGTCGTCATTAAAATAATAATGTCAACCCTCTTATTTCCATAATTTGCGTGATTCAACCTGATTGAAATGCAATCCAGGTTCATATGATCTCCTATGATCATTTTCAATTATGGATGCAATAAAAACATACTGTAGGTGCCAAGCTAATTGTGAGATAAATCATTCATCAAAGTAAGTGGCGATACTTGCATTATAAGACTCATGGAAGGCATGCATATCAAAGAGGTATATTATGTACGTATCGTAAAGTTGAGTATATAAATATATAATGCATTTTCACACCTTATATGATCAATATTACCTTGATGATTTTATGCAAGCACTTTATGGGATTACTTATAACTGGTTAGATTATGTTTTACCTAAACTGGTCAACATTTGCGAGGTGACACCGCAATTTTGTATCTATTCTGAAGAATCATCAAGACCTATATTTTTTTGAAAATCAGAATCAGCAGCATCATTGAAGTCGTATCTAACGATTTCATCTTTGTTTCTTTTTTCATTTAGACAATTCTGAGGATGACATTTTGAAATCTGAACATATTCACAAACGTCTAGAATATCTTGATCTTTTATTCAACCACATTTTTCATGCAATATTCTTCCAAATGCATCATGAATAATTTCTGGAAATAGAAAGCAACTGAATAAACTGAATTCCATCAGCATATACGTAATTTGAAGTATTTCAATTTATTCAGGTCGTTTAAAAAAAAAATCCCTTACCGTACTCATACAGGGTATCCCAGAACAACGTACATTGAATTCAACAGGGTGAACAAGACTTCAAAATAGGTCGATTGAGACCAATTTACCTAATGCACCGTTTGGCCGTGAGAGGGCGATGAATGGATTTTTTTTTTCAGATTTTATTGAATATTTCAAAATCCTTGAGAGTTAATGCTCTGAAATCTGGAAAGCAGTCAACTATAAGAAGTGTGCATAGATAACAGGTCTCATCAGTTCAATTGATATACAGGAAGATACAAATTTAGCATTCTGATTGGAGAAAATCCATAGAACTTTTTTTGAGTACGCCACTGTCCATATTTTAATATCTACTTGAATAACAAAATCAATTATCTATCTTTTTTCTCATCACATTTCTTTCTTTATTCTGCTTGGTTTACGAGATATCTGGAAAAATTCTTTCGGAGTCCCTCATATCATCCAGAGTTATCGTGTTCTACAGGGTTCTTCCTTCTTCATGTTGATATTTTGGTCACGTATTCATGTTAATTATTTAATAACCTTTTCATCATACAGGATGGCCCATTTTCAACTTGACAGGGAGATTTTGGGTGATAATAGCGTAGATACGAAAAAATGCTCAGATCGGTCGATTTAGGTTTGCACCTCCTGGTAACAATCAAAGTCGTTTGCAGGTTTTTTTTTGTTCTGTTGAGAGTTCGGAGGCTGAATTTGTATCTCCCTGTATAAAGATTGCACTGATGAGACCTGTTATCTATGCACACTTCTTATAGTTGACTGCCTTCCAAATTTCAGATTTTGAAATATTCAATAATTTGAAGTGTCATTGTCGAACTATGAACAGCACAATTTTCAAAGAGAAATATTTTGCATTTGAATGTTGAGAACGGGAGCAGATTCGGTCCCGAAACGTCCAAAGATAAGTAAAAATTCGATATTCCTTCAATATACCTACATTTCTCTCCTTCCAAACGGATTATCACTGCCAAGCTACTGGATTTTTCTTTCATACTCCCTGATAGACGCTGTGACATTTTGGGGCAAATCATCTGATTTGTCCCACTACAAATATATTGAAATAATACGAATATTCTCATTTTATAGAAACGAGGAGAAAAAATCCCAACGAATCAAGTAAACTGAATATTTCGGTGTGAAATTTTCTTACCGAATACAAGTCTTGCTATAATTAAAAACCGGAAATCTTTTGTTGAACAAGAATATTCAGATAATTCTTCCTCGTCTTCGAATCGGACGATTTTCAAAATATTCGTGTTATCAAAAAAATGTCCGGTAATAATCGAAGCTCTCGTGATATGTGGGAATCATGAATAATATTTCGAGTGATATAAACTGGGCGTCAATTGAAACGTTAATAGTGAAATTTGGCATCAAGTTTGACTTCTCGTAATTTCTAAAATATTGAACCAATTTTGAATTGCCGGCCCAGATTCTGAATGCCTCTTTCATCGTCTTTCGAACCGTTCCTTACAGCTGCTTCTAAATTGATCAGGACCCGTGATACAGGGTGAAACAAAGTTTCGTGCATTTTGAAAAAAATTTCTCCGCCCCCCCAGTTTGTCGGAAGACCACGATGCTCATATTTTATTCGGGCATTTCCTAAATAGCAACCGATAGCAACCATACCTCGGGACGTTTTCGAGTTTTTGCCAAAAACCACTGTGGTTTCCGAAAATATATATTTTTTTTGTATTTTTTTAAATGGACTAATTTTAGAGGAGTTCCATAAATGGATGCTTTTATGCATTCCAGGAAAGCGTTGGAGCAGATAATATGTATACCAGGTTACTCAAAAACAATCAATAATTTATTACTTCGCAGTCTATGATAAAAGTTGTCTACCTTAGTGAGCAGTAAATCAACACATCTCATCAACAAAAACAAACAACGATACCTTGTTTCTATAACAACGTATTGTTGAAACAATGTAGGTATGCATAGAGGTTATATCAATTGCCAATTTTCATGAAAACGTCAGTGTAATTCGGGTCCTAAAAAATTTAAAGATGCCTCGTTCAAATCGGGTCGAAATGGAAAATATCATTTGGTAAGATCATTATAGTGATATAAACTATAATTCAGTACAGATGATTATCTTTCAGGTTACGAAGATTAGGATATACCCAAACTCATTCAAGCACCATTTTGAATAAGTCAGTCATGACAATATATAGACTGATTCATCGTTTCGAAGATACAGGTAATCAGGCCATTTAAAAAAATGCAAAAACAATTTTTTTTTCGGAAACCACAGTAGTTTTTGGCAAAAACTCGAAAACGTCCGGAGGTATGGTTGCTATTTATGAAATGCCCGAATAAAATATGAGCATCTTGGTCTTCCGACAAAATGGGGGGGCGGAGAAATTCTTTTCAAAATGCACGAAACTTTGTTTCACCCTGTATCACGGGTCCTGATCAATTCAGAAGAAGTTGTAAGGAACGGTTCGAAAGACGATGAAAAAGGCATTCAGAATCTGGGCGACAATTCAAAATTCGTTCAATATTTTAGAAATTACGAGAAGTCAAATGCCAAATTTCACTATTAAAGTTTCAATTGACGCCCAGTTTATTTGATAGACTTGAATCACTAGCTATCTGAGTCGATCCATCATGCAGTGGAGTGAAGATAATAGGGCAGGAAGAAAATCTTACAGTCAACTCCACCAAAACTATACTTTATTTAAATTGGAAATTGGGACATGTTTCGAAGCTTCAAAGCTTCATCATCAGCAATATTGTTACAGGAAGTACTTATTGTAGTATAGTATTATAGTACTTCCTGTAACAATATTACTGATGATGAAGCTTTGAAGCTTCGAAACATGTCCCAATTTCCAATTTAAATGAAGTTTAGTTTTGGTGGAGTTGACTGTAAGATTTTCTTCCTGCCCTTGAATCACTAGCTTCCGCCAACATTTCTCCAACTCAAAAAACAAAATGTTCAGCACCAACCAATTCTTCATGTTCACAATGATCCCTACCGTATTCTTCTTCTCAGTCCAACACCTCACTTCACACCTGGCAGCCACTAGAGGGCCATACCTCGCGTACCTTCCTGCAGCGCAGGACTCTTGCAGGAATCCTAGCAGGACGACCAGCACCCGAAGAGGTGCCATCGAGCAAGGCCTGCTGAGACCGATCGCATCTGTTGAGGCACTGGCAGCGGAACGACAGCACCTGATCAGCCGTCCTGCTACTCCTGCGACTCCTGCTGCCAGTGGCGGGTTCGTGGGGAAGAGGGGCATGGCTCCTCCCCTAGCAGGTGATTTTATTTCATTCGATATAATTCAATGTTCGACGTGGCAAATGGCCAGGAAAGTAGTTGTTTTCTGTGGAATATTCAGAATGATATTATGTGCATATCTTTATATCATGAGATGCAAATTCTCTACTACAGAAGATTTAGTTTTCAAATTCTTATCGTGTGTGTTCAATAGATGTAATTCAATATTCGTCGTGGCATATAGCCAGGAAAGTAGTTTTTTTCTGTTGAATAAACCGAGAAAGAATTAATAGTTTCATCACATGGTGAATGCATATTCTCAATGTATTTCTTTATATACAGAGTGTCTGTAAAAGGTTGGGACATGGCTCGGCTGTGGACTCCTGGGAATAAAGTTGATTTAGGCCAACTTACCTATATCCAAAATAGTCTCGTTGAGCTGGTACAAGGCGTTGAAGTTTGTTTGGAAAAAAATAATTCTGCTCATAAAAAGAGTAGGCTGAGATCGATTCTCATAATTTTTGGCATGGCATTATCTGTGACTGTAAGTCACGTTTTGAGTCTCGTTTTCGAGACAATACTCGAGACAAGACTCGGACAAGACGAGACGAGACTTTTATTGGTCTCGTCTCGAGTCTCGTGCAAGACTTCTCGTGTCTCGTGCGAGAGTCTCGCAGGTAAATATTTCTGCGTGACGACTGCAGACTTGAGAATTTCATTCATAATACACAGACTATTTTGCACAGAGAGACAAAACATTTAATTCATAAATACTTTAAAAACACAATCCGTGATTGTTGTAAAAAGAACTAATACGTGAAACGAAAACGGACTATTCTCTCTCTAACGGCGGAATAATGTTGGATTGAAGTTTTTGTTTTGTTTATTTGTTTAGAATATACATGTTACTTTTTTATTTTATTTTTATTACTTTCGCATATGTTATGGTTTTTTTTTACTTGATAAGGTGTATGATGTAAGTATGTACCTATTATGTACTAACTTTTCAATAAATGATGTTATTTTTGTTGTGATTTTCTCTTCCTACTTCTGTATTATACCTAAAAAGTAGGAAAAAGTAAATATCCCGTACTAGACTGGAACAAGATTATGCATGACGAAATTGCGATACATTTGCGAGACTCTCGTACGAGACGCGAGACAAGACGAGACTCGGGACTGCGAGACTGAGACACGACTGAGATGAAAGTCTCGTCTCGTTGGTCTCGTGTGAATCACTAGTTTTGAGATGTTCTTGATCATCATCAGTGACCTGCAAGTGTTCCAAACAACCATGTTGCCGTACCAATTTGGGGATAACTCTTCAGAGGTCAGACTGGAAACTTCAAATTTTTTTTCCAGAAAGATATTCACTTCAGAAATATTTTTTGTATCGTGTTAATTTTTGATTAGTCTCGAGGTTCATTTGCAAATAAATAATTTCTGATCTGAGGCATCTTATGCATTTTTGAAATAAATAATCTGGTTGGGACATGGCCTGACTGTAGACTCCTGGGATGAAATCAAGTTGATTTTAGCCAACTTACCTATATCCAAAATCATTTCGTTGAGTTGGTACAAGGCGTTGAAGTTGAAATCTATAAAAATGAGATAAGATGTCAACAGGAGTAGATGTTTCTTGAATTCCTTTTTGAATTTTTCCATCCCATTAATCAGCTTCAAGTTATTTGGTAGTGAATTGTATTGTATCATTCCATTGTGATAGATGGATTTTTCTACCAATATCTAATTTAATTTTCTTGACAGGAAAATGATCTGCTTGTCTAGTTGTATGGTAACCAAATTTGAATGGTTATGGCAATATCTAACTGAATGAAGGAATGATGATAATTTGAATTTATATAGTGAATCTATATCTAATTCTTCTATAAAGGTTCATAGTAGGTTCCAAATAATTTAGTCTGTATATACATTTGATAATTTCATTTTGAAGAGTTTTGAGAGGCTTTATAATTGATAGTTCCGTGGATCCCCATACAGAAATCAAATATTCAAATTCAAAATAGATCAAAGAGAAGTATATAGACTTGAGACATTTTATAGGAACTTGATTCCGTACCCTAAAAAGTACGAAGGCGTAGAAGGGCCAACAACTTTATTTTTATGGAATTGCCACTTCGAAGTGGCAATTGTCACTTTGAACTGACAATTGTCACTTTGAAGTGACAATCGTCACTTTGAACTGGCAATTGTCACTTTGAAGTGACAATTGTCACTTTGAACTGACAATTATTGTCACTTTGAAGTGACTTTGAACTGGCAATTGCCACTTTGAACTGGCAATTGCCACTTTGAATTGGCAATTGCCTCTTTGAACTGACAATTGCCACTTTGAACTGACAATTGCCACTTTGAACTGGCAATTGTAATTCAGAGATCTGAATATCTCGAAAACTGAAATAAAATCTTGAAACTTCAACACTCTGTAGATCGGTAATGAAGCTTTTGCGGACACAAGTTCATGAAAAAAAGTCTTATTTTGACCTGAAAAATTAGCCTCCGAAATCTTGATACTGAATTTTCAAACACCCCTGCATACAGGTTCATATTTCAGTTTCACAGAACTATATAATGATGACATATAATCTTGGTCCCTGGGTAATAATCATATCCTTCTCTTCCTTGGTGTATAAATCAAATCACGAATTCATTTTTGTTTTTTTCGATTTCCATTTCGTATCGTCTACAGGCAACATCTCATTTATGTGAAAAAATAATGGAAAAATAAAAAAAACTGTCACCACACTATCACAGACTGTCTTCTGAAGACCAACAAGATATTACTCCAGCATTTTCAATCCGATTCAACGAGACTCTTCACAAACATAAATAAAACTAGTATGTTGCAATTTTCACGAATATAATAATAATAGAAAAAAATCATCATGGTTGTATATTTCAGATCTTCCTAGAACAACATTTCAGTAGTTCTTCCTATGTAGTTATAGTTATCAAACACAGGATGTTGTTTGTATGTACAAGATATCATAATTATTTTTCAAGTTCAATCATTAGGAAATTGGTACATACTCCAAATGATTAAAAAGATGTTTCAGTAAACTATATAACCTCTCAGAGATGATTGAATGAATATTTATGATAACATCTCGATTGTTTGATAATAATGATAAATCTAGAAACTCGATATCAGCAAAAGAACTACTGAAATAATATTCCTTAAATTATTGTTTTCACAGGAAGTAAATATAATTGCTGATACGTGTTTAAGCAGTTTCTAAACAGGCTGATGATAGTAGTTTTCCTCTGAGAAGTGAATTTCATTATAAACTGACTGTTTGCATTTGAAATCGATCATTGTTGGCCATTGTTGAGCAAAACTATTTTGAAATCACTCAGCGATTAAAACAAAAAGTGGTGCTGCTCGAAGTGGAACACATTGTACATTATAGGAATACCTCTGCCGAAATGTCATCTTCAAGATAAACATTTTGAGATGTGGTTTTGAATATTCTCTTTCTCTTTCAGAAATAGTTGGTGTACCGATGGTTCCACTAGAATTATTTGTTATTCGGTGTTTATTAATATTTGAACAGTGAATAATAGTAAAGAGGAGTAGTAGAGTACATAAATAATTATCTCATTTTCAGATCTGAATACTGAAAAGGTATTGAATTAAGCAGTTGGATTGATAGAAAAGTAGTTACGAATGTGTTATCGAATTCGTTGAATTAGTTTACAGCAGGTGGTCCCATAACAGCAGGTTATCCCATACCAGCAGGTGTTCCCATACCAGCGGGTGGTCCCATACCAGCAGGTGTTCCCATACCAGCGGGTGGTCCCATACCAGCAGGTGTTCCCATACCAGCGGGTGGTCCCATACCAGCAGGTGCTCCCATACCAGCGGGTGGTACCATACCAGCAGGTGTTCCCATACCAGCGGGTGGTCCCATACCAGCAGGTGTTTCCATACCAGCGGGTGGTCCCATACCAGCAGGTGTTCCCATACCAGCGGGTGGTCCCATACCAGCAGGTGTTCCCATACCAGCGGGTGGTCCCATAGCAGCAGGTGTTCCCATACCAGCGGGTGGTCCCATAGCAGCAGGTGTTCCCATACCAGCGGGTGGTCCCATACCAGCAGGTGTTCCCATACCAGCGGGTGGTCCCATACCAGCAGGTGTTCCCATACCAGCGGGTGGTCCCATACCAGCAGGTGTTCCCATACCAGCGGGTGGTCCCATACCAGCAGGTGTTCCCATACCAGCGGGTGGTCCCATACCAGCAGGTGTTCCCATACCAGCGGGTGGTCCCATACCAGCAGGTGTTCCCATACCAGCGGGTGGTCCCATACCAGCAGGTGTACCCATACCAGCGGGTGGTCCCATACCAGCAGGTGTTCCCATACCAGCGGGTGGTACCATACCAGCAGGTGTTCCCATACCAGCGGGTGGTCCCATACCAGCAGGTGTTCCCATACCAGCAGGTGATCCCATACCAGCAGGTGTTCCCATACCAGCGGGTGGTCCCATAGCAGCAGGTGTTCCCATACCAGCGGGTGGTCCCATACCAGCAGGTGTTCCCATACCAGCGGGTGGTCCCATACCAGCAGGTGTTCCCATACCGGCGGGTGGTCCCATACCAGCAGGTGTTCCCATACCAGCGGGTGGTCCCATACCAGCAGGTGTTCCCATACCAGCGGGTGGTCCCATACCAGCAGGTGTTCCCATACCAGCAGGTGGTCCCATACCAGCAGGTGTTCCCATACCAGCGGGTGGTCCCATACCAGCAGGTGTTCCCATACCAGCGGGTGGTCCCATAGCAGCAGGTGTTCCCATACCAGCGGGTGGTCCCATACCAGCAGGTGTTCCCATACCAGCGGGTGGTCCCATACCAGCAGGTGTTCCCATACCAGCGGGTGGTACCATACCAGCAGGTGTTTCCATACCAGCGGGTGGTCCCATACCAGCAGGTGTTCCCATACCAGCGGGTGGTCCCATACCAGCAGGTGTTCCCATATCAGCGGGTGGTCCCATAGCAGCAGGTGTTCCCATACCAGCGGGTGGTCCCATACCAGCAGGTGTTCCCATACCAGCAAGTGGTCCCATACCAGCAGGTGTTCCCATACCAGCAGGTGTTCCCATACCAGCGGGTGGTCCCATACCAGCAGGTGTTCCCATACCAGCGGGTGGTACCATACCAGCAGGTGTTCCCATACCAGCGGGTGGTCCCATACCAGCAGGTGTTCCCATACCAGCGGGTGGTCCCATACCAGCAGGTGTTCCCATACCAGCGGGTGGTACCATACCAGCAGGTGTTCCTATACCAGCGGGTGGTCCCATACCAGCAGGTGTTCCCATACCAGCGGGTGGTCCCATACCAGCAGGTGTTCCCATACCAGCGGGTGGTCCCATAGCAGCAGGTGTTCCCATACCAGCGGGTGGTCCCATACCAGCAGGTGTTCCCATACCAGCGGGTGGTCCCATACCAGCAGGTGTTCCCATACCAGCGGGTGGTCCCATACCAGCAGGTGTTCCCATACCAGCGGGTGGTCCTATACCAGCAGGTGGTCCCATACCAGCGGGTGGTCCCATAACAGCAGGTGTTCCCATACCAGCGGGTGGTCCCATAACAGCAGGTGGTCCCATACCAGCGGGTGGTCCCATACCAGCAGGTGGTCCCATAACAGCGGGTGGTCCCATAGCAGCAGGTGTTCCCATACCAGCGGGTGGTCCCATACCAGCAGGTGTTCCCATACCAGTGGGTGGTCCCATACCAGCAGGTGTTCCCATAACAGCAGGTGGTCCCATACCAGCAGGTGGTCCCATACCAGCAGGTGGTCCCATAACAGCAGGTGTTCCCATACCAGCGGGTGGTCCCATAACAGCAGGTGTTCCCATACCAGCAGGTGGTCCCATACCAGCAGGTGGTCCCATACCAGCAGGTGGTCCCATACCAGCAGGTGGTCCCATAACAGCAGGTGGTCCCATACTAGCAGGTGGTCCCATAACAGCAGGTGGTCCCATAACAGCAGGTGGTCCCATACTAGCAGGTGGTCCCATAACAGCAGGTGGTCCCATACTAGCAGGTGGTCCCATAACAGCAGGTGGTCCCATACCAGCAGGTGGTCCCATAACAGCAGGTGGTCCCATAACAGCAGGTGGTCCCATACTAGCAGGTGGTCCCATAACAGCAGGTGTTCCCATAACAGCAGGTGTTCCCATACCAGCAGGTGGTCCCATAACAGCAGGTGGTCCCATAACAGCAGGTGTTCCCATACTAGCAGGTGGTCCCATAACAGCAGGTGTTCCCATAGCAGAAGGTGGTCCCATAACAGCGGGTGGTCCTATACCAGCAGGTGTTCCCATAACAGCAGGTGTTCCCATAACAGGTTGGCCTGCAGCAATAGATTGACCTGGGGTAATAGGTTCGCCTGGAATATTAGGATTGCCTGGAACATTAGGTTTGCCTGGAACATTAGGTTTGCCTGGAACATCAGGTTGGCCTGGAGCAGAGTTAACGTTCCCATTGATGGATACAGATAGTTTATTTATGATGGAAATTGTATCCTTATCTTTTACTTTCGTATCTTCTTCACTGGTTTCGTCATACCATTCATCGTCGTACTGAAAGAAATAATTTTTCATAGCTACCTACTGATTCTGCAACTTAGGTATGTGGAATTTACCAGGACGAGGATAATGAAAACTATGAATTTCTGGTGTATAAAAATATAGCGATTGTTCCATAGAACGGTTATTCACTTCACCAATTGTTTTTTCCTATGACGGGAAAAAAGTTTGAAATTTCATCTCTGTTGACAGGTTATAAACTGTCACATTTCATAAATCACTTTTTTTCCACGGAAAAAAAGTGAGTACTTCTTCCCCGGATATATATTCACTGTTGATGGCTTTTGTTGTGTGCTATAGTTCCGAAAAATAAACCAATGACACCGTCTCTGAGAAAGAACTGCAAGTCTTTTTATCTAACATTCGATTTTGCAGTCAAGAAAATCACTTAAAAAACCACTGATTTTGCAATTTTTGAAATCAAATCACAGTATTAGACCGACAGATATTTGATTACCTACTTCAAAAGAATGATAAAGATGCCTGAAACGCAGGTGTCATTCCAGTTAAAAACTTCAATATCTATTCGTCCTTATTCCTGTCGCAGAAAAAAATTGCTCACGACCTTGAGCTAAACCATACTTCCCTTTCCCCTTCAATCTATATAGCATTGCTTCCTGTTCAGTTGATATAAATAGAACATTGTATTCACTACTGAAATCTGAAAATGAAACTAGAAAACGGTGAATTCAAGATTCAAATGAAAACATCATGTAACTCATCTGATTGCCAACATCACCGATTGTCACTGAGAACTGGAAAGTGTCAAGACGAATACGAATTTGCTATACAAATATCCATTTTTTATGTTGAAAATGGGAACAGATTTGTTTCCGAAATTTCCAATACAAATTGTCGCTGACAAGCTGGTGAATTTTTCTTTTAGGCTCTCTGATAAAAAAATTCTTTGAACGCAGTGACATTTTGTGGCAAATCATCTGATTTGTCCTTACTACACGTATATTGGAATAATATTCATACTTTTATTTTATTGAAACTAGGAGAAAAAAATCCCAAAAAATATGGTATAATGAACGCAACTCTTGTCTAATTTGATGAACTTTCTCTTACCGTTTGGGAAATGGTAATACTGTCCCTATGAGATCGGCATGACCCTGTGATAATAATTGCCGCTGCCGCAATACAAAATAAGTAGGTATTGCTCATAGAAAATAGTTATTTATTATGCAAGGGAAAAAAGTGGTAGATTTTAGCTCCAGATTGTGTTGTCTCCCGACGCGTAGCGGAGGGAGACAAAAAGCCGTGAGCTGAAATCTAATATTTTTCCCGTGTATAATACACTATTTTTTTCTGTGACAGAAGGAAGGACGAATCAATATTGAGAAGATATTACATTATTTCGAAATGTGAAAATTATCGACGTGAAATTTCAAGTTTTTAACAGTAGGGACACCTGCGTTTTATAGACATCTTTATCATTCTTTTGAAGTAATCAAATATCTGATGTCACTCCTGTCAGTTCAATTCTGTGATTTGATTTTGAAAAATTGCGAATTCAGTAGTTGTTTAGTAATATATGAAACCGCGAAGTCGAATGGAAGATATAAGGACTTGCAGTTCTTTCTCGGAGACGGTATAATTGACTCATTTTTCGGAACTATAGCACAACAAAATCCATTTTCCACGGGAAAAAAGTAATTTATGAAAAGTGACATTTTATAACCTGCCAACAGAGATGAAATGCCAAACTTTTTTCCCGTCACAGAAAAAAATAGCTTTTTTTATCGGAGAAATTTCTCTTGGTAACGAAACACATTTGCCGATCAGTAATTTTACGAGAAAAACTGACAATAATGATACCGGTGTGAAGCTAGCAGCCAAACCACCAGACAAAAAACCGTGAGCTAAAATCTAATATTTTTCCCGTGTATAATACACTATTTTTTTCTGTGACAGAAGGAAGGACGAATCAATATTGAGAAAATTTTACATTATTTTGAAATCTGAAAATTAGCGACGTGGAATTTCAAGTTTTTAACAGTAGGGACAGCTGCGTGCATCTTTATCATTCTTTTGAAGTAATCAAATATCTGATGTCACTTCTGTCAGTCTAATTATGTGATTTGATTTAAAAAAATTGCGAATTTAGTGGATGTTTAGGTAGTAATATCCGTAACCGCGAAGTCAAATGGAAGATAAAAGGACTTGCAGTTCTTTCTTGGAGACGGTTTTATCGACTCATTTTTCGAAACTATAGCACAACAAAAACCATCAACAGTGTATATATATGTAATATATATCCGGGAAAAAGTACTCACTTTTTTCCCACGGGAAAGAAGTAATTTATGAAAAGTGACATTTTATAACCTGCCAGCAGAGATGAAATGCGATCTTTTTTCCCGTCACAGAAAAAAAATATTTTTGTCAAAAACAAACAAATGATATGAATAAATGATGATGTGAGTGGACTGATAATGAATTATTGGCATTCAATTACTCCACTGTGTTTCGTTATTAGTCAGATAATCTTCTATTTCCACTCATGAAGCAATTACAATTACAATATACATTCCAATTTTCATTTCAATGCTGAATATATTGGTGAGTTATATTTCTATATCATTATACATCATATTATTCATCCGGTTTGACGAAGAATGTCAATTCTCAATGTCGGAGGATTTTATTTTTTATTTTTCATGTTCAAATAGCCAGGAAAGTAGTTGTTTTCTGTTGAATATTCAGAATGATGTGTGCATATACATATTTTTGTCTGAAGGAGATTGCAAATTCTCAATGTCAGAAGTTTTTATAGGTTATTTTCAAACTCTTATCGTGTAATAGATATAATTCAATGTTCGTCATGGCATATAGCCAGGAAAGTAGTTGTTTTCTATTGAATAAACTGAAAAAGAGTAAATATTCTCATCACATAGAGAATGCGAATTCTCAATGTATTGCTTCATATTAATATATATCCATTTTTGTACGTCCATAATTTATCTGAGAATATTCCTTTTCAACAACCTCATAATGTTGTAAGAAAATCGTGCGTACCCAGGAAGGATAGGGACGTACAGGTCCCATTGGGATAATCAGAAATTTTAGATTGGAAAAAATGTTCAATACCCACCCAAAAATAATCGAAAATGGATGCACCCTCTATACGGGCCACTGCGAAAAAGAACACCAGCAAAGAATAAGGACCGATCAACATTTTTACAAAATTGTGTCGTGAAGTAGTATCAGACTTTCGATTGAATCAGCTCGGCATCACAAATAATGTGATATATATAACCGAAATCTGTCCGAAGCTTATCACTCAAAAACGGAGAATATCAGTTGCGCTAGTCTAAATATGGAAAAACAACTAATAATTATTTGTTTTACTAGGCAGCAAAGCAGTCGATTGACTGCTGCAGCTGATAGTTCATATCCGAGGGTAGCGAGACTAGGAATTCAGTTTGTCTACATTTGCTGCCGTGTGACACATATAATTCTTCCCAACTGTTATAAAACCAATTTTGTGTAAGTTTTTTATTGAAAACTCTTTTGATTAACAATTTTATTCGACTCACTTGGAAAGTTGCATAACAACAAACTTTCTCTACCTAGGCAGATAAAGTTCACCTTTCCTGCCTGTTAAGTGTCAGAGAAAAACCACTTTCATTGTCGCTTGGAGAAATTAGATTTTTTTCTGCAAACACAAATCAAAAGTTTGCTTCTTAATATAAGATGTTGATTCAAGACATCATCAGTATCAAAATGAAGTGATACTTGTTTTCTTTTTTATTGTGTGCATTGATTGAGCAGAAGGAAGAATACAACAAATAATATTTTTTGAATATACTCAATTTTATGTATCAACATTGCTATACAAGGCATAATCAAAATAATTTTTTTATGTTCTGTTTCCCACGGAAAGGGATATCCTGTAATGTTCAGAGAACATCGTGAGAACCAAGGGAAATAATGTAGGAATTGGTGATCTTCTCAAATTTCTGGAGGTTATATGCCTCTGGGAACACCTCCCTTGGTTGGATAAACGAGTCTTTGGAAAGAGATGTTCTGCAGGTCTCCAAAGTGACCACGAAGGGGTGCGAAGCCTCAGCACGAAAACAGAACCAGATCGCCAAATTTTCTACGGTGTTCCAGAGAAGTGAGTGAGTTTGTGAGCGAGGCATCACCCACGAGACGAATTGCCCTTTTTTGGACAGAATCCAACAGTTTCAGCGTTGATTGATGGTCAATCAACGGTTTCAGGGTATGTTTGGGTGCTGCACTCCAAATATGGGAACAGTATTCCAGGACAGGTCGTATCTGTTCCTTATAAGTAGCTGACTGGAAGTGAAATAGCTGAAGTTGTACTATCGAATGGCACCATTGAATAAAATATAAAACAATGGTAGATTTTGAAAGAAAGACAACTACTTTCCTTACAAATTCCACTCAGAACATTGAATTACATCCTCCCGAAATTTATGCAACGACTCGAAGCTTTTTGTATTTATTTAACATTTCATTCCACTTCAACACGAAAAAAAAGGAATTGTTGAATCGAGTAAATTTTATTTGAATGAAGCAAATAAAAGTGTCATATATGCACGGCAAAATATAATCTTGAAATGAGTAAATCTATATCTTGTTTCAGAGCGAATTTGAAGTTTGAATTGAGTAAAAATGTCTTGAATGAACTCTGGATCTTATTCAATCAAGCACATCCATATTGAATTGACTGAAACAATCATTTTGTTCGATTAAAAATAACAAGATATTGATTCAATCAAATATTTAGTTGATTCAATGAAATATTCAGTATTAATTCGGGAGTTTTCTGAAATTTCAGTCTTTTTTATCGTAATCAACACTCATATACGCAATTAATACCACTGCAACACCCAATATAATGCCTCCTGTCAAACCTTCGACAACTGTCATCATCGGTTCGATAGGAGGCATTATATTGGGTGTTGCAGTGGTATTAATTGCGTTAATGAGTGTTGATTACAATAAAAAAGACTTTTTCGATTGATTTCCGAATACGCGATGGAAAACCTTGTGATAAATATAGGTTTCTTGACTTCATGTCAGCTCAGGAATATCTTAAAACCATTGTAGCATCGTTATTGTATGAATTGGTCATAAAAATCCAGAAGGTCTTCCTTGTGCCCCCTTGGCTTGCCTCATCTGAAAAATCACGAAATCAAATCGACATTCTGAGCAGAGCAATCGATCCAAATGAAGGATTTGTATTCAAAATATCATATGGTTATGGCAGCACCAAACTGAACAGACGATTTCACCAAATTCTGAACATTTCTGAAAAAAAAATTCTTCTTTTGTTGAGTTTGTCGATGATTTCCACGCAATATGAATCCATTTTCTAGGATGTGTTACATCGTATTGAGTGGCAAAATACGTTGAATGTTTCTTGCATAATAAATAAAATTGGAAATGATGCGATATGAACCTAAAAATGAAAAATCATCGATTTTCCACATCCTGTATGAGGAATATGGAAAATTACAAAACCATTTCGAGATATTGGCTTGAATGTTCGGAAGAAACGCTTGATAGAAAAATAAAAAAAAAATCCCTGGAATACGGAATCAAACGCTTTGTAATACTTTTTTCGAACATTTGGTGTATGATGACCGAAAAACTCTCGACGAGTTCCGATTGAAAATCCATTAATTTTCTAAAAAGATATGGCAGTTTGAGAATTGTCAAATATTCCAGTGGTCCACTTGTTTCTTTGAGCACTTTATATTTGATAATATCAATAGTGCATCAATATTCATTATTGTATCTGGTTATTTCCATTGCCAGTTCAAAACATCTAGCGGAATATATTCACAACTATCTTCAAAATCTATTGATTAGCACAACTAGATATCGCCATTAGAAACACAAGAACACCAAAATCAGTTCAACCTAGTTAAACTCACGTCTCCTGGGAATTCCCAAGATTCGAATAATAAAAGGTTTTGTTCTCAACGCCAATTTTATGTTTCTGATAGTATTTTCGTAGTTTTATGCAGCAGCTTTAATACTTATTTCGATTCAAAAGATCCAGACCAAGATTGGGTTGGAACAAATCTGTTCCTGATACGAAATTATTACACAAATTTTCCGTAGTAAACAATTCTTATTTTCCTAAGCACTAACCTTGGGTGTTGGCAAATCTATCGTATACACAGAAAAAAAATGTTTGAAACTACAAAATTTTTGTAAATTCAACAAAATCTGAGTGTCATATATCCACGACAAAATATTTTGTCTCCGCAACAAATGTTTTTTGTCAGTTCTCAATTCAAAATTCATTTGATGTAAATCATTAATGATTCAATTTAACAGCAGGAATAGGTTGAATAAACAAAGACCATTTTGTTCCTATAATACAATATCTGCTCGTATAAGGATTCTATTGATTGAAATGATTATTTCATTTCATTCAAGTGACAAAATTTTCAGTTCTGCAGAGTGAATATGTTAAAATAACAATATATATTCTTCGATCAACCAAATTGTATTTAGAATTGACAAAATATTTTGCTGAATAATATTGAAAAATATCCAATAACTGAATTTCAAAACTAAGAGAAATTAGAAATCAATTTCCTCATTTGATTCAAGACTCTTAGCTTGTATTAGCGTCATAAGAAATCCTCGGACAGCCTAATATAATTACATAAACGGATGTTTCAGGTAGGTATATGTACACACAAATCGAGGCACACGTAGGTAGGTTGGAAAAAACGCCACCTGGTGGCGAAAATGCAACTAGATAATCATTCAACAAAAATTTTTTTTGATTTGATGTATTTATGGGTTCTGTTCAACAAAGTAATTCGTTTGAAATTCATAACAACATATTTCTCGAAAGTGATGTGTTGAATCAACAAAATATTCTGTTGTCATAATCAATTCAATTTTGTCGAATAGAAAAAAACCTTTCATTGGTTGCACAATGAAGTGATTGTTGACTCAACAAGATATGATGTTGTATTCAGTTAAACCTTTGTCAAAATCAATTCAATTTTGTCGGATAAACAAAATGTATATATGATTGACTGAACAATGAGATAATAGTTGGATCAACAAAATTCATTTCATGTCAACTATAAATGTTGTTGAATGAAATGAAACTTTTATTCAAGTAAGCAAATATTTCAGTCAAATTATTTTGTCTCCTTGAATAGGTTGCGAATTTGGAATGAACATGTATTTCGTTGATTTCGCGGAATTTTGTTTAATTCAACAAAAAAAATGACTAAAATTATTTTGTTGGTGCAACAAAACTTTTTTTTCCGTGTAGGTGACTAAGTACGTTATAGGGTTATAGTATCAACTTTCAATTTAGTGAACACATCAATGAATCACTCCGTACTTTTTCTCAACTGTATAGTATCAATTGCAATAATTTTTGGCAATTAGATAGTTAGCTATATCTCTTCAAATGTAATAAATGAGATCATATATTATAAACAGGAAGAAGTTTAGTTGAAAATGGTACAATCCATCCCCTTATATTTTATGCCAATAACGTCAATTCTTTCCTAATAGTAGGCGATTTTTTTTTTGCTCGAACAGAATCATCTCTCTAATACTTGTCAATTTTATATTTTTCAAGAATTTTTCGATCGATTTTCACGTGCTAAAATCATCAATAATGCCACGGTAATTTTCAAACGGCTAGAAATTTACCGCCAGTAAAAACTAACGTCAAGATTTCGTAAGTAGGTGCGGACCAGCACGTATTCAAAACGCCCCGAAAACAGGCATAGACAAGCTTTTAAACCAATCAAGTCGATTTTGGCCTTGGCGGTAAATTCGAATCGCGGATCTTGGCGATTTTGAATCACCAAGTCATACATCGAATAATGATCAATGAATTATTTCCCAGGTGTATGGTAATATTGATTAGCAATTATTGATGAAGCATGTGATAGATACTGGAAAATGAAATTTAGGACAAATTGCTGTAACTAAAAATATATTTTGGTAAAACTGCATTTATCATGCGACGGGTTCTTTTTCGAACTAATGTATTTTTATCTGAAAAACACGAATTTGATAGTGAAAATGTGAACAAACCACTAATTATCGAGATATTTAAAAAAGGTCGAAATTTCGCCTTCTTTTTCCCCTCGTCTTAGATGCATTTACAGGTACTACTAGCTCTTTTCATTTTGTTATTATGAGCTATGAGCAGAGCGACACAACGATACAACAACGTATAAATCA